AGAAGCAGGCTTCCCGCGGAGCAGGGAGCCCGATGTGGGGCTCGATCCCAGGACCCTGGGATCATGACCTGAGCCGAAGGCAGAAGCTTAACGACTGAGCCACCTAGGCGCCCCTCCCTCTCTGTTTTTATCCTAATCACCTATCTTAAGCATCCATTTTATAACAGTCCTGTTGAATGGTCATGGAGCTTCAAAATGGGACACATCAACATCATGTACCTCCTGGAAGGAGGCACTGGAAAAGACCCAACGTTACTTCTGTGAGATTCCTGCCAAAGATGCAGGACTTCAATCTAAAGACTAGGGAGCATCAGACAAACTCAAAATGAGGGACATTCTACACAATTTCTGACCTGTGCCCTTCAAAAATGCCAATGTCATCATATACAAAGAGAGTCTAGGAACTGTTCCAGAGGAAAGGAAGCTTAAGAGACATGTCAACTGAATGAAATCCATGAGCCTGGATCTTCTTTTGCTATAGATGACATTGTTAGGATAAATGTCAAAATAGGAATGAGTTCTGTAATTTTGATAGTAGTATTATATCAATGTTACTATCTTGATTTTGATCATTGTGCTGTGGTTATATGAGGAAAATGTCCTTGTTTTTAGGGAATACCAAAGAGAGGTAAAGAGGTACCATATTTGCAGTGTAACTTACTTGCAAATGGTTCTGAAAACACACACGAAGAAAAGGAAGAGAGAAAAGTAGATGAAGACAAAAGTAAAAATGATGAAATTTAACATCTGGGGGATCTGGTAAAGGATATACATAGGAGCTATTTAAATTGTTCTTCCAACTTTTCTGTAAATCTGAAATGAGGTCAAAATTAGAAGTTAAAAATTAGCATTTTCACACAATGCCCAGTCGAAAAAAAGAAAAGAAGAAAATCTATCCATGGATGGATAGATTGTTGTCAGGAAAGAGTCAAACTTCTAAGAACACTGCAGGTGAGGTGACCACTCAGAGATTTAGAGCCTACATTCATGCTCCCCTAGAAAACTCAGCCAGAGGAATTAGTCTAAAGTGGTCCTGGATGAATTGTATTCTAGGTGTCAGGCAGAAGCAAACACAAATCTCTGGAAGGGGTTTTCATCTGAGGATATCTGCCTCAGTGTCCACAGGGAGATTGGTCTGAGGTTTTTCTTTCTTTTAACATCCTTTCCACACTTGCCTGCATATTCTGGTTCTTTCTGACTTCCCAGTCTTATTAAGGACTACACCAGTCTTTCTTTCTTTCTTTCTTTCTTTCTTTCTTTCTTTCTTTCTTTCTTTCTTTCTTTCTTTCTTTCTTTTTCTTTCTTTCTTTCTTTTTTTTAAGATTTTATTTGACCGAGAGAGACACAGCAAGAGAGGGAACACAAGCAGGGGGAGTGGGAGAGAGAAGCAGGCTTCCTGCTGAGCAGGGAGCCCGATGCGGGGCTGGATCCCAGCACCCTAGGATCATGACCTGAGTTGAAGGCAGGTGCTTAACTACTGAGCCACCCAGGCGCCCCTACACCAATCTTTCACTTTCAAAGTACCAACACTTTGGCCTTCATAGGAATTCTAAAAATGCTGTGATTCTTCCCCCAGCCATGCCTCATGAAGTACTGCCCTCCCTGCTGGGGCTCTTGCATGCCTTTGTCTTCTCCGTGATCATTCCTGCCCTTATTTCTCAGATGAAACATCACTTCTTCAGATGAGCCTTTCCTGAGCCCTCGCTGCCCACCAAGTGTAGTCCTCTAATCCATGCCTTTGTAGTCTCCTGCATTTTTCTTCATTGCACGAATCCTATCTATATATACACATTTACTTTTGGAATTATTTGATTAATATCTGTCCCTCTTACCACTGAAACATAAACCATACAAATTCAGATCACAAGTTACAAAATTTACTTTTCCTCATATCTCCCATGCTTTGTACTCGAAGAGCATGGAAAGTGGAATAAAGACTGAAACCAAAAATGATCACATATATTACAGACCAGAAATCTACAAGTTGATCTCACATTGACTATAGAAGCAACAAACTGAACAAGGAGTAAAATGAAGCATGAATCAATCGATGCAGAAAATAACATAGCTTCAGAACAAATCAAAATACATTTAATAAAATCTAAAAGTTACCGATGGGAAGGGAACAGAGTAAAATTTTAGTTACATGGAATCGAACGATACTGCCAAAAGGTGATAATGAATAGCTATGTTAAAGCAAGGGTAAATCCAAGACCCATTATTAAACCCTAAAAAACAAAACAAGGAGACAAAAAGCAGAAAGAGGTAATGATGCCTGCTATTATAATTATTTAACACTGTTTCCAATAATTAAAAAGAAATGCCATAAGACAGAAAAGTGAATGAGATACAATATTAGGAAATCAAAAGCAAATCTGGTCGCTATCGGCTGCTGATGTGATTGCCTGCTGCAATTAGAACGAATCAGTGTCATTAGCTTCTTATGGATCTGTAAACAATCATTAGGAAAGATAAGAGAGAAAGGTCTATTCACAATTGCAATGATGACATAGATAACACCTGGCATGGAGTGGGCATTCAGTACATATTTCGTGAATCACAGAGTATATACAACCTGGTAGAAACCAAGTCATGATGGCGGTGGGGTGAAGAAGGAGATATCCTGCTGGACAGAGATTCTTCAATTATGCATGCATTAGAATCACCTGGAGGACTTGCTTTTAAAACTGATTTCTGAGTCTTCTCCCCCCCTGCCCCGGGTTTCTGTCAGCAGGTCCTGGGCAGGGACTGAGAATATATTTTTCTAACAAGCTCCCAGGAGATACGGTGGTGGCTGCTCCAGTAACTACTAGTTGAGAACTACTCCACTAGAGACACACAAGGAAGTTGTGAGCTGGTGGGTTAGAAAAGTCCGCTTGAGGGAGTGCCAATGCCAGCGACACTGTGGAAGTCACTAGTTTCCAGAATGAGGGGCCATTAGAGCTGGGGGTGACAGAAAATAGTAGCAATGGAATCCAAAAAGACATAACCAGGGAAATAAATTCCAGAAGCTAAAAAAAAAAAAAAAAGGGGCAGGGAGACCAGAACCTGTCACCAAGTCATGTCCCTGAGAGGCCCAGATGTGTTCTCCTCCTAGTCAGGTGTCACTGAACTATGGGTGAGGATGCTAGGGAAGTATTTATGATTTCTCCAGTCCCTGTGGGGATGATTTCTCATGCTCCTCATTAAATAAATTGTCCCTCTGATCTTCTACTCTTGAGGTCATTCAGCTCCTTTGGGGTAATGAGAAAATGGCAGAATGGAACGGTGTGTGCTAATTCTGTTTCCGGGAAGGCAGCTTTGGAGCCAGATGGATCTCTCTGCCCCCATGGGCTTCTTCCTTCTTGGAAGAGCTTCATCACTATGGATTTGGCTTTGAGGGAAAGAGGTTCCCTCGCAGGAATGCACCGCTGCTGCAAAGACCCATCTCCCTGTAGCCACAGTACTTTAGGGTCTGTCTCAAAGTAACACAGAAGAAAGTGGCACCTGTCTCAGTGAATCCCTGTGACCATATTGTGACTGCATAGGCTACATGGTGTTGAACGTGCTGTGTAGATAAACAAAGTTCCACTTCAAGAGAGGGAGGGTCAACCATGTAAAATGATGATACTAGGTCAAGTAATAAAGGCCGAACAATATCCTTTGGAGTTACTGACATGGAAAATAACAGAAAGAGCAATTTGGTGGAGGGGTGGGGAGGAGTCTACTTGTACTGGGACTTGGGGGTGACTTGGCAGTGAGAAAACAGACCTCTTGAGTGCAGGAAAGTGACCTCTTCCTCTGTCAAGAATGCTCTCTACAGGGGGAGAGTAATACCATGTGTTTTTTTTCATTTTGGATGTGAGAAAATGTTTAAATGACAAAGGAAACACTCCAGTTGATTGTAGAAAATTAAACTGATATTCCATGATTTACCATAAAAACAAGTTCTGCCATATGTTTTTAAATGAATAAATCAAGGGCACCTGGGTGGCTCACTCGATTAAGTGTCTGATGCTTGATCTCAGCTCAGGTCTGATCTCAGGGTTGTGAGTTCAAGCCCTGCATTGGGCATGGAACCCACTTAAAAATTTTTTTTAAGGGCGCCTGGGTGGCTCAGTAGTTAAGCGTCTGTCTTCGGCTCAGGTCATGATCCCAGGGTCCTGGGATCGAGCCCTGCTTCGGGCTCCCTGCTCAGCGGGAGGCCTGCTTCTCCCTCTCCCACTCCCTCTGCTTGTGTTCCCTCTCTGTCAAATAAATAAAGAAAAATTTTTAATGAATAAATAATTTATCTTATAAACATTTACTCTTAATTGTAAGTGAAATGTATCATTTTTAATTTCTTGAGTAAATTAAAACTGGAGTGGTGAAATCAAAGTCGGATGTGTTATTAACACAACTTTAGTAAGTAGAAGCAATTTCCTGTCAAGAACTATAAATAGCTTTCTACCACATATATGTAACTTAATGAGCATTTGTAATCTCAGTGGTGTAATCTAACAGCCATTGGAACCATAACTACAAGACTCTAAATATTACATAGGAAATTTCTTCATCCCTTTTAGTAAATAGTCTTAGAGAGCAAAACACTATAGCAAGATTCAAAAAACCTATGACATGAATTCATATTTTTAGACTATGAATGGAACACATTTCTTAATAAATTTAGAAATTCTTTGAGACAAGGTGTATCCAAGCATTAATTGGACAGGGTCTCTTATACAGCAAGACTCAGTTAAAGGAAAGCGTTTGCATTTTTTCAAATTTTGAATCAAATGTTCTTTGATATTCTTTAGACTGTGGGCAATTGGTCAGTGGCTTAGTTGAAATTTTCATGGTAAAAATATCCTTTTTAGTCTTTTCCTGATAGTTTCCTAACAAAATTTTGATAACTGAAAAAAATCTGTTTTATCATCCATCTAAAAATCTTTCTCTTTATTTTGTGTGTAAGATTCCAAGCCATACATGTAGCTGACCAAATCGGATCTGGGGAAAAAAAGGCTTTAAAACTTCTGTTATCCGCCCATGTTCACAGCAATTTATTCACATAGTCAAAAGGTGGAAGCAACCCAAGTATCCACTGACAGATTAATAGATAAGCAAAATGTGGTGTATACATACAAGGAATATTATTCAGCCTAAAAAAGGAAGGAAATTCTGGCACACACTACAACATGGATGAACGTTGAAGACATTGTGTTAAGTGAAATAGGGCACTCCTAAAAAGACAGATATTATATCACTCCGCTTATAGGAAGTTCCTAGGGTGGTCAAATTCACAGAGACAGAGAGTAGATGGTGGGAGCCAGGGGTGAGGCAGGGGGTGGGGGTGGGTCAGTGCCTCATGGGGACAGAGTCTCAGTTTGGAAAGATGAGAAAGTTCTGGAGATGGATGGTGGGTGTGGCTGCACAACAGTGTGAATGTACTTAATGTCACTGAGCTGTGCACTAAAAATGGTAACTTTTATGTTATATATAGCGTATATACATACATACATACATATATATATATTATATTTTACCACAATACCAACAAAACAAGTTAAAAAAAGAACTTCTGTTAGACATTGGTCACCTGATTTCAGGTTCCAAAATTAATAAATTTTTAAAAAGATTTTATTTATTTATTTTAGAGAGAGAGCACACAGGAGTTAGGGGAGGGGCAGAGGGAATCTTCAAGCAGACTCCCCACTGATCGTGGAGCCCAACGCACGGCTGGATCCCACGACCCTGAGATCATGACCTGAGCCAAAATCAAGAGTTGGCCACTTAACCAACTGAGTGAACCAGGCACCCCTTGTTTTGCAATAATTTCTAATCCACAGACCAAAAAAAAAAAAAAAAGAAAAGCAAAAGAAATGTCCCAGATATTGCAATTAGGCTGTTCTGCTAAGGAATCTCCACAGCACCCTCTTGATGATCCTGTTCCTCTGATTGTAGATAAAAGGGTTCAGCATGAGGGTGACCATTATGTACACCACTGAGGCCACTGCATCCCTTTTGGGGGAAGAAGTTGGAATCACATTAAAAGAGGGAAGTTGGAATCACATAATGTAGCTCTTTTCAGATTGACTTTTTTTTCACTTAGTGACATGCTTTTAAAGTTCCTCCACGTCTTTTTGTGGCTTGATAGCTCATTTCTATTTAGTGCTGAATAATATTCCATTATCTGGATGTCCCACAGTTTATTTATCCATTCACCCACTGAAGGACAACTTGGTTGTTGCCAAATTTTGGCCATTATGAATAAAGATACCATAAACATCCATGCGCAGGTCTTTGCGTGGACATAAGTCCTTTCCAGTCCTTTGGGTAAATACCAAGGAGTGTAATTGCTGGATCAATGTAAGAATATGTTTAGTTTTGTAAGAAGCCACCAAACTTTCTTCCAAGGTAGCTGTACAATTTTGCATACCCACCAGCAATGAATGAGAGTTCCCTTGCTCCACATCCTTGTCAGCATTTGCTGTTGTTAGTTAGTGTTAGTGATCTGGATTTTGATCATTCTAATAGGTACATAGTGGTTTCTCATTTCCATTTGCACTTTCTTGATGACATACCATGTGGAACATCTTTTCATATGCTCCTATCTTCTTTGGTGAGATGTCTGTTCAGGTCTTTGGCCCATATTTGCCCATTTTTAAATCAAGTTGTTTGTTTTCTTATTGTTGAGTTCTAAGAATTCTTTGTAGGGGTGCCTGGTTGGCCCATACAGCTGAGCAACTTACTCTTGATTTCGGCTTAGGTCATGATCTGAGGGCTGTGAGATCGAGCCCCGCATTGGGCTCCCTACTCAGCCGGGAGTTGGCTTGAGTTTCTCTCCCTCTGCCCTTCTCCCTGCTTGTGTGCTCTCTCTCTCTCAAATAAATAAACATTTATTTATTTGAGAGAGACATAGCGAGAGAGGGAACACAAGCAGGGGGAGTGGGAGAGGGAGAAGCAGGCTTCCCGCCGAGCAGGGAGCCTGACGCTGGGCTCCATCCCAGGACCCTGGGATCACAACCTGAGCCGAAGGGGGAGGCTTAACGACTGAGCCACCCAGGCGCCCCAAACCCCAGATTCTTAAATACAGAGAACAGGTAGTTGTCAGAGGTGTGGTGGCTGGGGTGGGGGGTTGGGTAAAATAGATAAGAGGGATTAAGAGGTGTAAACTTCCAGTTATAAAATAAATAAGTCCCAGAGATGAAAAGTACAGTGTAGGGAATATAGTCGATTATAGTAATGTATGGTGGCAGGTGGTGACTACACT